TATACAGACTCCGCAGACACCAGTCGGTTTTGGTGACCTTGATCCCATTTTCAAGGTCACAGCAGACAAATCTGCTTTTAGAGTTGGAAAACGGTGTTGCCGCGATATCTCAAGAACTAAACACTGGATTGTCTTCATATTTGGAACTATGGTGTATATACAGACTCCGCAGACACCAGTCGGTTTTGGTGACCTTGATCCCATTTTCAAGGTCACAGCAGACAAATCTGCTTTTAGAGTTGGAAAACGGTGTTGCCGCGATATCTCAAGAACTAAACACTGGATTGTCTTCATATTTGGAACTATGGTGTATATACAGACTCCGCAGACACCAGTCGGTTTTGGTGACCTTGATCCCATTTTCAAGGTCACAGCAGACAAATCTGCTTTTGGAGTTGGAAAACGGTGTTGCCGCGATATCTCAAGAACTAAACACTGGATTGTCTTCATATTTGGAACTATGGTGTATATACAGACACCGCAGACACCAGTCGGTTTTGGTGACCTTGATCCCATTTTAAAGGTCACAGCAGGCAAATCTGCTTTTGGAGTTGGAAAACGGTGTTGCCGCGATATCTCAAGAACTAAACACTGGATTGTCTTCATATTTGGAACTATAGTGTATATACATACACCGCAGACACCAGTCGGTTTTGGTGACTTTGACCCCATTGTCAAGGTCACAGCAGGCAAATCTGCTTTTGGAGTTAGAAAACGGTGTTGCCACGATATCTCAAGAACTAATCGCTGGATTGTCTTCATATTTGGAACTATAGTGTATATACAGACACCGCATACACCTGTCAGATTTGGTGACCTTGACCCCATTTTCAAGGTCACAGCAGGCAAATCTGTTTTTGGAGTTGGAAAACGGTGTTGCCACAATATCTCAAGAACTAATCGCTGGATTGTCTTCATATTTGGTACTATGGTGTACAGGCGGGGGATATTTCGTCACTCTGTGACAAATACTTGTTAACTTCTAATGCAGTGTCAATCCTAAACAAAAGTTTGTTAAAGAAGCTCTGAAATGTAATCTTTTTAACTTATCCGGCATTACTCTGTATTGCATTTACTGCTGTCTTTTGACAGAGAGATGAACTGTGTGAGATACAGCTGCTGAAGAAAAGTTGTTCCAACCAGTAGAGGCAGCACCCTCGGCACTTGACCCGGAAGTAATGACATCACATCAAAACACATAACTGCTTTGTCACTTCCACAGCCGGACGTACTTTGTATCCCTTGTGGAAATTAAAGCTTATTGTTTCTATACTTTGCATATTTCTACATTCATCGTATGCTGCTACATTGTTACCTGTTTATGGGCTGTTACCTTTAGGGTCTCTCCAATCGTAATTTGAAACGTTTATCACTCGTTTGTGGCACTAGTCACAGTAATTTACGTGCGTACTGTTGTTCCCGCCATTTTGTTTTTTCCCCACCATTTTTGCCATTCACCTCGTGGCCAAGTAATTTCGTCTTCTGTGTTTTGAATTCTTTCTTTGGCTTGGGTTATACACTAAATTTGTTTATTTTGTTTTGGCGTGCTTTGCCTTTTTGCTGCCTTTTAGCGTAATTGTTTGCTCTCATGAACTTACATAAAATACAAAGTCTTTGAGTTACATTATGCTTCCTGTACTTTGTAGTTTTGCCACATGGTTATGTTTTTGCTTAAATTCCAGATTTTCTGCCTCGCTGCACTTGCTGCCGCGGGAACAAATCCGGTCGGGGTCGCACCTTCTGCCTTGATTGTACGAAGCCCTGTACTTTCACAACGCAGTGCCATTGTTGCCATTCTTCGTCACTGTGTTCCTTCAACTCAATACGAGTATCCAGGACACACCTCACTCGTGCTCATCGACCCCCTGATATGGCTTACAACTGGGACACTGAGGTCTTTCTACACCTCCCTTGCCGTCACCTTCATCGACAACATCGTCCCCTCAGGTGACACCCGTAACGGGATCGGCCTTCCGTCTCCTCTGCCATCTACGTCGACAGCCCTTGCGAAGCAACAACACCAGCGCTCCAGAGATGCAAAGCCACCGGCACTCCCGCCGCTCCAGAGAAGCAACACCACCAGCACTCACCAGTGCTCCCAATGCTGCCGGCACCCCATGCGCCTGAGTATCTAAGCCAAGCTTCCCGTGCACCTCCTGCGCCTGTGTATCTCAGCCAAGCTTTTCTGCGCCTCAGCCAAGTTTCCCTGGTGCCTCCGCCTGAGTACCTCAGCCAAGTTTCCCCGGCGTCTCCGCCTGAGTATCTCAGCCAAGTTTCCCGGCGCCTGAGTATCTCAGCCAAGTTTCCCGGTGCCTGAGTATCTCAGCCAAGTTTCCCGGCGCCTGAGTATCTCAGCCAAGTTACCCGGCACCTGAGTATCTCAGCCAAGTTTCCCGGCGCCTGAGTATCTCAGCCAAGTTTCCTGGCGCCTGAGTATCTCAGCCAAGTTTCCCGGCGCCTGAGTATCTCAGCCAAGATTCCCGGTGCCTTCATCACCACTCGCCCCTTTCCATAACCTGCAGAGAAGACTCGTCCCCCTATCGATGAATGTTATGTGCAAAAATAAGACAAACCAATCAGACTGAGCGTTTGACTTCAAATACTTCGGTCAAAGAATCCCTCAGGAATAATTTTTACTTTACATATGCCTTGCATCTAAAAATATACCCAACATATAGTTAAATGTTTTCAAACATGCTGTATTATATCGATGTATTTTAAATGGCATCTGGAAAATATATATGGGAAAATATAGGTGAATCATTACGCAACGAGTTGACAATTCCTTTCGCTATGCCCGTTTGCTCTGAGACGGAACCCAGTTGTAAACAAATGCCATTAGAGGAGCACGAGTCACTATTCGGCTTGTCCCGGAATAACATGAGTTGGTCACGAATGCTCCAGCGCCTGAGTATCACCTTTCCGTATTGCCCCGACGGGACACAATTGGAGACCCCTGATGCTGACTTTTCTACTTTGCAGTCTTGTAGACGACCTCATGACTTCCCGGTCTTCCACTGACCTTCCACCTTGTCAGTGGTTAGTGTTTCTGGGATTGCTCACACCAGCCTATGTTGTAACCGACTGTGATCCACAGATCAACTCCATTGGCACAGCAACAGCCTAGAGATAAAAGAGCTTATCCAGGACGTCACTTGCTGGCAGAGCATTCTCGGTCACGCCCTGTTGATCATGTCCACGGACAACAACACCATGGTGTGGTATTTGAGGAACCAGGGTACTCTCAACTCTCCATCTCTGCTAAACCAGACCTTCCGCTTCTTCGACTTTGCGGTCAGTCTGGACCTGTTCTTTCCCGTTTAGCATTCACCAGGAAGCATGTTCTGGCACAGGCTCTATCCAGGCCAGACTAGGTGTCTCCTACCAAATGGGAGCTCCACCCAAACATCGATCTGTTCCCCAGGCCTACGCACATATGCTTTTCCTCCTCCAGTTCTCCTTCCCAGGGTTCTTCAAAGGGCCAGGGGCTATTCAGCTAGAGCGGCCAAGGCTATTGCATCAGCCCACCGTCCGTCTACAGGGGGACTGTATGATGAGAAATGGTGCTCATTCCAGGCATTCTGCTCAGACAAACACCAGGATGGCTCTTACCATCTCCACATACCTGGTCGCCATCAACTCCGTCTTGTTATCCCAGAAGATCGGAGAATGAGAACTCCAGGCCTTGCTGCACTCATTCCGTCTTTAAGACCAGAAAGCCATGTTCAGATCGCCTGCGTTTCCTACAACGATCAAAAGCCTGCCGCAAATATAGGAAACACCTTTTACTGCCGGTCTTCCCTTCGTCGCAGTCAGAGGTAAGCTGGAATACTCCGGGCGGTCATCCTCCAAACGTATAAAGCTGCCAGATTGGAGCCTCCCCCTAGGCTATCAACCAACAGAAGATGAGGGTGATCGCATTTACCATGACTCTTCACAGTAACTGCTCCATCCAGTCGCTCATGGAAGGCTGTTCTTGGCGACTGATACCTCCCTGATGGTCACCAATTCCTCTGACGCCACTGATTCTCCGATACTCCGATCTCTCTGGTGTTAATCACCCTAGACAAGAGGGCTCTACTGCGTTCCGCATTCGCTCTTAGAGCAGTTCTAGTTTTGGGCTACCCGCCTCATTCTATTTCTGTCACCTATTCGGGTACTTTTTGCATCAACTCTCGTTTCCTGACAACAGGAATGGTAGTAGATGCTGACACCGATGGTGATGCCGATGCCGACACTGCTGATTCTCCGATACCTCGAGTGGGGCTCGTCGACCTCTCTGATGTTTATCACCCCCAGACTAGAGGGCTCTCCTGTATTCTGCATTCACTCTTGGGAATGGTCATAGATGTTGACGCCGATGCCGCTGAATCTTCGATACCCCGAGCGGGACCCGTCGAACTCTCTTATGATTAGAGGGCTCTTCTACATTCCGCATTCGCTCTTAGGTAAGTTCTAGTTTTTGGCTACCCGCCTCATTCTATTTCTGCCACCTATTCGGGTTTTTCCTTTTTGCATCAACTCTTGTTTGACAGATGCCATCTGATAAAGATGAAACACAGATTAATACAGGATAAGATAAGGATAAGATATTTTTAACATTGGTATGCTTATCCTGCATTATGAAGTCTAAGTGTCCTCATTTCTCTACACTGCCTGATGTTATGTTTAAAGCAGTTATGTGTTCTGATGTGACGTCATGATTCCGGGTCACGTGCCGACTGTGCGAGGGTGCTGTCTCTACTGGTTGGAACAACTTTCCTTAAGAAGCTGGATCTCTGCTGGATCATTGTAACAACTTTGTACATGGGCCGATGGCCTACAAAAACAGAAATAAACTTCCTATAAATGTTGACTTCTTGTGAGTTACTTCATTGGTCGATCAAAGTTCACTCTCATGTGACCTGTAAGGGGATGTCCTAAGATCTTTGTTTAGCAGTAGCAAGAACTGAGATCTGATTTTAATGAGTTTAAACAAGACTTTAAACTATGTTTTCTAGCTCTAGACTGCATGATCTGTTTGGTGGAGCGAGACTGTGACACTATGATGGGTGACAATAGTGGCTTCTTGGCAGCACATGTGGCAGCCCGATACAACAAGCTCGACTGTCTCCGCTTCCTCATCAAACAAGGGACAGCTATAAACTCCATACAGGTTGATGGCAAAACACCAGCACATGTGGTGAGTACTCTCTGTGTCAGAACTACAGTGCATGCAGTGAGTACACTTTGTCAGAACTACAGTGCATGCAGTGAGTACACTTTGTCAGAACTACAGTGCATGCAGTGAGTACACTTTGTAAGAACTACAATGCATGCAGTGAGTACACTTTGTCAGAACTACACTGCATGCACTCTGTCATGGTTCAGTGTAGACTTGATGTGTGTTCAGCCAGTGTGTGTTTCAGGCAACTGGCCATGGTTCAATGTAGACTTGATGTATGTTCAGCCAGTGTGTGTGTTTCAGGCAACTGGCCATGGTTCAGTGTAGACTTGATGTATGTTCAGCCAGTGTGTGTGTTTCAGGCATCTGGCCATGGTTCAGTGTAGACTTGATGTATGTTCAGCCAGTGTGTGTGTTTCAGGCATCTGGCCATGGTTCAGTGTAGGCTTGATGTATGTTCAGCCAGTGTGTGTGTTTCAGGCATCTGGCCATGGTTCAGTGTAGACTTGATGTATGTTCAGCCAGTGTGTGTGTTTCAGGCATCTGGCCATGGTTCAGTGTAGACTTGATGTATGTTCAGCAAGTGTGTGTGTTTCAGGCATCTGGCCATGGTTCAGTGTAGACTTGATGTATGTTCAGCCAGTGTGTGTGTTTCAGGCATCTGGCCATGGTTCAGTGTAGACTTGATGTATGTTCAGCAAGTGTGTGTGTTTCAGGCATCTGGCCATGGTTCAGTGTAGACTTGATGTATGTTCAGCCAGTGTGTGTGTTTCAGGCATCTGGCCATGGTTCAGTGTAGACTTGATGTATGTTCAGCCAGTGTGTGTGTTTCAGGCATCTGGCCATGGTTCAGTGTAGACTTGATGTATGTTCAGCCAGTGTGTGTGTTTCAGGCATCTGGCCATGGTTCAGTGTAGGCTTGATGTATGTTCAGCCAGTGTGTGTGTTTCAGGCATCTGGCCATGGTTCAGTGTAGACTTGATGTATGTTCAGCCAGTGTGTGTGTTTCAGGCATCTGGCCATGGTTCAGTGTAGACTTGATGTATGTTCAGCCAGTGTGTGTGTTTCAGGCATCTGGCCATGGTTCAGTGTAGACTTGATGTATGTTCAGCCAGTGTGTGTGTTTCAGGCATCTGGCCATGGTTCAGTGTAGACTTGATGTATGTTCAGCAAGTGTGTGTGTTTCAGGCATCTGGCCATGGTTCGGTGTAGACTTGATGTATGTTCAGCCAGTGTGTGTGTTTCAGGCATCTGGCCATGGTTCAGTGTAGACTTGATGTATGTTCAGCCAGTGTGTGTGTTTCAGGCATCTGGCCATGGTTCAGTGTAGACTTGATGTATGTTCAGCCAGTGTGTGTGTTTCAGGCATCTGGCCATGGTTCAGTGTAGACTTGATGTATGTTCAGCAAGTGTGTGTGTTTCAGGCATCTGGCCATGGTTCAGTGTAGACTTGATGTATGTTCAGCCAGTGTGTGTGTTTCAGGCATCTGGCCATGGTTCAGTGTAGACTTGATGTATGTTCAGCCAGTGTGTGTGTTTCAGGCATCTGGCCATGGTTCAGTGTAGACTTGATGTATGTTCAGCCAGTGTGTGTGTTTCAGGCATCTGGCCATGGTTCAGTGTAGACTTGATGTATGTTCAGCCAGTGTGTGTGTTTCAGGCATCTGGCCATGGTCCAGTGTAGACTTGATGTATGTTCAGCCAGTGTGTGTGTTTCAGGCATCTGACCATGGTTCAGTGTAGACTTGATGTATGTTCAGCCAGTGTGTGTGTTTCAGGCATCTGGCCATGGTTCAGTGTAAACTTGATGTATGTTCAGCCAGTGTGTGTGTTTCAGGCATCTGGCCATGGTTCAGTGTAGACTTGATGTATGTTCAGCCAGTGTGTGTGTTTCAGGCATCTGGCCATGGTTCAGTGTAGACTTGATGTATGTTCAGCCAGTGTGTGTGTTTCAGGCATCTGGCCATGGTTCAGTGTAGACTTGATGTATGTTCAGCCAGTGTGTGTGTTTCAGGCATCTGGCCATGGTTCAGTGTAGGCTTGATGTATGTTCAGCAAGTGTGTGTGTTTCAGGCATCTGGCCATGGTTCAGTGTAGACTTGATGTATGTTCAGCCAGTGTGTGTGTTTCAGGCATCTGACCATGGTTCAGTGTAGACTTGATGTATGTTCAGCCAGTGTGTGTGTTTCAGGCATCTGACCATGGTTCAGTGTAGGCTTGATGTATGTTCAGCCAGTGTGTGTGTTTCAGGCATCTGGCCATGGTTCAGTGTAGGATTGATGTATGTTCAGCCAGTGTGTGTGTTTCAGGCATCTGGCCATGGTTCAGTGTAGGCTTGATGTATGTTCAGCCAATGTGTGTGTTTCAGGCATCTGGCCATGGTTCAGTGTAGACTTGATGTATGTTCAGCCAGTGTGTGTGTTTCAGGCAACTGGCCATGGTTCAGTGTAGACTTGATGTATGTTCAGCCAGTGTGTGTGTTTCAGGCATCTGGCCATGGTTCAGTGTAGACTTGATGTGTGTTCAGCCAGTGTGTGTGTTTCAGGCATCTGGCTATGGTTCAGTGTAGACTTGATGTATGTTCAGCCAGTGTGTGTGTTTCAGGCATCTGGCCATGGTTCAGTGTAGACTTGATGTGTGTTCAGCCAGTGTGTGTGTTTCAGGCATCTGGCCATGGTCCAGTGTAGACTTGATGTATTTTCAGCCAGTGTGTGTGTTTCAGGCATCTGGCCATGGTTCAGTGTAGACTTGATGTATGTTCAGCCAGTGTGTGTGTTTCAGGCATCTGGCCATGGTTCAGTGTAGGCTTGATGTATGTTCAGCCAGTGTGTGTGTTTCAGGCATCTGGCCATGGTTCAGTGTAGACTTGATGTATGTTCAGCCAGTGTGTGTGTTTCAGGCATCTGGCCATGGTTCAGTGTAGACTTGATGTATGTTCAGCCAGTGTGTGTGTTTCAGGCATCTGGCCATGGTTCAGTGTAGACTTGATGTATGTTCAGCCAGTGTGTGTGTTTCAGGCATCTGGCCATGGTTCAGTGTAGACTTGATGTATGTTCAGCCAGTGTGTGTGTTTCAGGCATCTGGCCATGGTCCAGTGTAGACTTGATGTATGTTCAGCCAGTGTGTGTGTTTCAGGCATCTGACCATGGTTCAGTGTAGACTTGATGTATGTTCAGCCAGTGTGTGTGTTTCAGGCATCTGGCCATGGTTCAGTGTAAACTTGATGTATGTTCAGCCAGTGTGTGTGTTTCAGGCATCTGACCATGGTTCAGTGTAGACTTGATGTATGTTCAGCAAGTGTGTATGTTTCAGGCATCTGGCCATGGTTCAGTGTAGACTTGATGTATGTTCAGCAAGTGTGTGTGTTTCAGGCATCTGGCCATGGTTCAGTGTAGACTTGATGTATGTTCAGCCAGTGTGTGTGTTTCAGGCATCTGGCCATGGTTCAGTGTAGACTTGATGTATGTTCAGCCAGTGTGTGTGTTTCAGGCATCTGGCCATGGTTCAGTGTAGGCTTGATGTATGTTCAGCAAGTGTGTGTGTTTCAGGCATCTGGCCAGGGTTCAGTGTAGACTTGATGTATGTTCAGCCAGTGTGTGTGTTTCAGGCATCTGGCCATGGTTCAGTGTAGGCTTGATGTATGTTCAGCCAGTGTGTGTGTTTCAGGCATCTGACCATGGTTCAGTGTAGACTTGATGTATGTTCAGCCAGTGTGTGTGTTTCAGGCATCTGGCCATGGTTCAGTGTAGGATTGATGTATGTTCAGCCAGTGTGTGTGTTTCAGGCATCTGGCCATGGTTCAGTGTAGGCTTGATGTATGTTCAGCCAATGTGTGTGTTTCAGGCATCTGGCCATGGTTCAGTGTAGACTTGATGTATGTTCAGCCAGTGTGTGTGTTTCAGGCAACTGGCCATGGTTCAGTGTAGACTTGATGTATGTTCAGCCAGTGTGTGTGTTTCAGGCATCTGGCCATGGTTCAGTGTAGACTTGATGTGTGTTCAGCCAGTGTGTGTGTTTCAGGCATCTGGCTATGGTTCAGTGTAGACTTGATGTATGTTCAGCCAGTGTGTGTGTTTCAGGCATCTGGCCATGGTTCAGTGTAGACTTGATGTGTGTTCAGCCAGTGTGTGTGTTTCAGGCATCTGGCCATGGTCCAGTGTAGACTTGATGTATTTTCAGCCAGTGTGTGTGTTTCAGGCATCTGGCCATGGTTCAGTGTAGACTTGATGTATGTTCAGCCAGTGTGTGTGTTTCAGGCATCTGGCCATGGTTCAGTGTAGGCTTGATGTATGTTCAGCCAGTGTGTGTGTTTCAGGCATCTGACCATGGTCCAGTGTAGACTTGATGTATGTTCAGCCAGTGTGTGTGTTTCAGGCATCTGGCCATGGTTCAGTGTAGACTTGATGTGTGTTCAGCCAGTGTGTGTGTTTCAGGCATCTGGCCATTGGATCAGTGTAGACTTGATGTATGTTCAGCCAGTGTGTGTGTTTCAGGCATCTGGCCATGGTTCAGTGTAGACTTGATGTATGTTCAGCCAGTGTGTGTGTTTCAGGCATCTGACCATGGTCCAGTGTAGACTTGATGTATGTTCAGCCAGTGTGTGTGTTTCAGGCATCTGGCCATGGTTCAGTGTAGACTTGATGTATGTTCAGCCAGTGTGTGTGTTTCAGGCATCTGGCCATGGTTCAGTGTAGGCTTGATGTATGTTCAGCCAGTGTGTGTGTTTCAGGCATCTGACCATGGTCCAGTGTAGACTTGATGTATGTTCAGCCAGTGTGTGTGTTTCAGGCATCTGGCCATGGTTCAGTGTAGACTTGATGTGTGTTCAGCCAGTGTGTGTGTTTCAGGCATCTGGCCATTGGATCAGTGTAGACTTGATGTATGTTCAGCCAGTGTGTGTGTTTCAGGCATCTGACCATGGTTCAGTGTAGACTTGATGTATGTTCAGCCAGTGTGTGTGTTTCAGGCATCTGACCATGGTCCAGTGTAGACTTGATGTATGTTCAGCCAGTGTGTGT